ATAACTCCTTACCTGTTGCTATGGTAAAATAATCATAGGTCATGATCCTGACAACTTTCATAACTATTTAAGCCAAAGTTTATTTCAGCTAATGCAAGATGTTATAGGACGGCCAAGGGATGTACGGTACAGCAGCCTTAGTTCGAACTTACCTTGGTCCACACTCGGCAGGCAGGCTCCCCCGTCGACTCCGCGGTACTCCTCTCGCCGAGCTGGAGTACCGCAGTCGACGGCGAGCACTTCCGGGTTCGACTTATCGCGTCCAGACTAGACGCGATAAGTCGAACCCAGAAGTTCGATCGCTCGCCGCCGAACTACCGGGTAAGTGTAGCCAAGGCCTAAGTCTGTTCATATACAGTCACAGAGCCAACCTGGCTAGAGATAGAAATGTGCATCCAATTAAATCATCCAGTCCATCCCCCTTGACCAGTGCAGAACTGTTCCCTACCACCTATTCCCTTGATGCTTTCTCCAGTGCATTATTGACCAGCTCAAGCAATGGGGCACGAGTCCATTTGCTACAGCGATATTGCACTATACCTCTCCTGTGATTAAGTCTAACCTGTACCACGCCGAATCATGGCACTGTGTTTCTATTTTCTCTACTTCCTTTTGGCTGTGCACAGAAAGAGACGAGGCCAGGTCCTTAGGAGGAAGAGGATGAAAGTGATGCTACAATCTGATTTTTAGAGTCTTTTTCTTTGTGTAAGATGCTCATTTCCTGAACTTGTACATCTTTTTCCATTGCTATGACTCTGCTCTCCTTTAAATTCCTAGATGCTATTCGGCCACCTCCCACTCAGTGTTGATCTGAGAGGTTTCACCCTTCCGATAGGGAATGCAATATACAAAAATCTTAATCCTCAGAACTTTCCTGTTGGCTGATCACATACCAACAGGAGAAACTATGTCTAATTTCTTTCTTCAACTGGACCCAATGTAATGTAACCAAGATGTTTCCTTCACTTGTTCCTCAGTTTATTATTGTTTCAAATCGATATTGGTTATTCAGTGACATATGCACAGGGTGTCATTAGGCTGACCTTTTAATGGAGAGCATAGCGTTAACCTATCAAGAGCCATTTATCATGCTGCTGTTTAAATCTTCACAGGGGAAGGAGACACAGTAAGAAACTGACCATGTGCTTAACATAATCATGCAGAAATCCAATGATAACAGGCAGGACTATTTCTTTTCCTCAATATGATTTTTGGGCCAAGCATAAGTGGGTGCACTGACTTCAATTATGTGTTTGCCTGGTTTTACACTATGACAGAATTTGGTTCAGCCTTTAACTCAGATATTTATAGGCTCAGATCCAATATTCATTGAAGGCATTGAAAAGACTCCCATTGACATCTGTGGAAGTTGGATTGGGCCCATAGTATATTTAGCAGGCTTGTGAAACTGACAGCCCCGGAGACTGAAAACCTGCATCTATCCATAAACGAGGTACTGCTGGGATTGAGGCAGTGACACCCCACCAATATAGCTCGGGAAGAGGGTCATTCTGAAATGTGAGAGGACCGATCGATTTCAGTGCCCATTGAACCACAGGCATCACTCTTGAGACTGCCTGCAAGGGTGCCAATTAGTGGTAATTGTGGCAGTGGTTTCTCTGATATAGACACATGTCCACTGGGAACTATGCTGAGGTCACCAGCCCGTTCCACCTCGCACAGCCCTCAGCTGCTTTCAGATGGGAACAATTTTTGGTGAGCACTGAATGTAATGAGATCATCTAGTCTTCCAATGGATCCTGAAGGAGGCTCACCAAGTCTGGCTTTTCAGCCCAGCTGCAATTACGTGGTTAAAAGAGACAGAAAGAAAAGTGGCTACTGAAAAACACCCCCCGAAAACAAAAGAAAACAATAACCTCCCCCCAAAAATCCAAACCAAAACAACCCTCCCCCACCATGACTTATCCTAGTAACCTCTGACACACATTGTGACCTCTGGCCCACTGCTCCAAGACAAGCTGAAACAAAGCAATCAGCCTGAATGTGCAAGACTGCGTGTAAATGATGTTAACCTTTAAGAAGTATC